CTAGACATGCGGCTCATAGATGGCGGCAAGGTTGTCAGCCCTACGCGCCGGTCGCTCTTTACCCCCAAGAATATTCCTGGTACTCATTTCTGTTAGAGGCTGAATCGACCCCAGGGCAATAGTGCGGCTGGAAGGATTAGGTCAATTGATAAAAATCCAATGACCCGCGACCTTCCGGCTTGTAGCATAGTGCCTCAACCAACTACCCTAAACATCTTAATCTATTATCAAGAAATGGAACTTAATATGGACTGGTATCACACAAGAAAGGGATGAGGGATTTAAACAATTATTCTAGGTACCTGAAAGTAAGAGACCGGTCTTAAAGAAGCAGGGTGTTTGCCTGTGTATTGGATTCAGCTGTCTCAGGATAGGACCCAACGGCGGGCGTATACGAACACGACAGTAAACGATCTGGATTCTGCAAGACGGGGGAATTTCTTGACTAGCTGAGCGACTAACTTCTTCTCAAGAAGGACTACTCATGGGGTGATTGTGGGATATTTAACGGCGATTTAAATATTTCAAATTATGTAGTGTCGGATGGTAGGACGACTGAAAAGATATGAGTTGGAAAGGATTTTGAAGGAAGCGGTCGTGACCTACTTAAGGTACTATACCGGAATTCGCCTGAAGTAACTGAGGGAACACGTGAAAACCTCAGTGAAGTTAGCCAGTGTGCGGACAGAGTTTCGAACTCAACACCTACCCAAATACAAGTTTATCAGGTTCCCTGTGTGGAATCTGCTCAGTTACTCAAACAGATCTCTGAATTTCGTCCACAGAGTGTATGTGTTTCTCGTATGATTCTGAGAATAAAAACTTATTGTTTCCGGAAACAGTTAAACCATTTGGCCATTAAAACATACAACACTGTTTTCCCTTTTAGATAGGGACTGAATTCTTTAATGTCAATTAGAAGAAATTCATGCTTCAACTAGTTAAAAATTACGCAGTTGTAAATTAAATTCTTAAGTGTTGCACTATTCCCATTACTTCTTCTAGACTATCGGCTCACAGATGGTGGCAAGATTGTCAGCGTTACGCTCCGGCCGCCCGTTACTCCCCGGAATATTCCTGATACTCATTTCTCTTGGAGGTTGAGTCGATCCCAGGACCATAATGCTGACGGGAGGATTAGGTCAAATGAAAAAATCCAATTAGTTCATCGGGAGTCGAACCCGCGACCATCTTGCTTATAGCATATTGCCTCAACCAACCGCGTTACCGCGTGCCATGCATCGTCTACATTGCTTTCAATTAATTACGTAGCAAGCTTAACATAACTATTTTGGTGTCAGGGAAGTAAAAATTGCTAAAAGCGTCTTTCATAATCGTGAAATTGAGTAACTCTTCAAAGGCCATAATTTCAAACGAATTTGAAATAGTCGATAAACCGATAACATTAGTCAAAATAATTTCTTCACCGATAATATGGTACATTCACATTTCTGGTTTGTTATTTTAAAACACTTGACACATAAAATTACACAAAGGAAATGCTTAGTTTTCCCATAGGAAACAATTTAACTTCGCTTCAATCTGCTCTCCGATAGGTTTTACCTCAGTTTTGCAAATATTTTAAGCTGGGTTTTCATATGTTAAAGGATCTTGTTCCATTGCGGCTGCGCAGTGCAGTGTGAGCAGTATTTCAGCAACACCGGCTCCAGTTGCATATACCTGTCTCTTTCTCGCAGATCTGTGTGAAGGCCCTCTGTTGAGCTTTTGGAGGTTTTGGCTCAGTATCAGCGTCGCGGCCAGCCAATTCAGGAGAGTTTGACTGATGGACGAACGTTCGGTAGTGCAAAAGACTCCATTCGTACGCGTGGTGTGACTTTCCGTTTATAATCAGTGTCAGGTTGTGTTACCGGTGTAACGTGTAGAAGTTCTTGCTGAAGTCCTGTATAAGCATACAAACGGTGGACTTAACAAAACTTGTAAGTGAATGTTCTAGTGTGTCTTTCTATTTCCATTTAGTTTACTGCGAATATCATCACAATCACCGAAGGAGTGTCCATTTTCGTCACACTGTATTAAGTTTCTATGTAAGTGTTGTCTTCTTCATCAACATTCAGCACTTAACGATATATACCTTTAATATAGGATAAAATTTCGGTCTTTTCTATTTAGTGAAGAATATGGCATGTGTTATGGTCATTGGGAGGTTTAGGAGGTTGCCATAACAGAATTCGCAACCATTGCCTTTTCAGTTTAGGCCAATTTTACTGTGTTTATGAATTTTGAAGAACGTTTAATTCGGTGTAATTTTTCAATTCTCAGATTTTTCAAACCTGACCTTTTTCTGCCTAAGAATTCAGTTGCCGATATTTTCGGATATATACTTATTTTCATTAATTACTTGTTTTTCTAGCATGCCAAGAATTGTACAGAGCCAACTTTAATGTTTACGTGGTTACGTGGTAAATATGTACAGTAAGATTATACCGGCCGGTCACGGTAGCCGAGCGGTCTAAGGCATATACTATCTTCGCTCGCTTGGAAACCGGGATCGTGGTTTCGAATCCCACTCAGGGCATGGATGTTTAGTTTGTGTGTGTGCGTTTTTCTGTGTTTATGTACAGGTAGAGACCTTGCGACGAACTGATCACTCGCCCAAGGAGTCCTACCGGAAGTGTAACATCTAGAAAAACCGAAGTGAACGGAGAAGTTCATGGAGGTAGGCCTAGTCCCACTGGGGCTGTAGTGCCAAGAGGGGGGAGGGGGAAGATTATACCTCTGGAAAGTTCGAAGAAAATTTGCACTTATTAATTTAATATTTGGTTCTGAGTCTGGGTTTCGAGAGGACATCTTCAATGTTATATATATATGAAGAGATTCTGGTAAGCTCTAGTACTGTCTGATTTTGCTCGATGTTTGTATATTACGAATGAAAACGTTTTCTAACAATAATAGGCGTGAGTGGATAGTTAGAGTATGCTCAGTTCTGCAACTACTGTGTAGCGAATTCTTCTTCTTCTTCTTCGTCTTCTCTTTATCCTCATCCTCCTTCTACCCCTCCTTCGTCTTCTCTTTATCCTCCTCCTCCTCCTCCATGTCCTTCGAATCCTCTTTCATTTTTTCTCATTCTTTTCATTTTTCTTCATCTCGTTCTTATCCTCCTCCTTCGTCTTCTACTCCTCTTTCGCCTTTTTTATCCTTCTCCTTTACTTTCTCCTTTTCATTTTCCTTCTTCTCCTTCTTCCCCTCCTCCTCCTCTTTCTTTTTCTTATCATTATTTTCATTTTCTTCTTCTTCTCCTCCTCCTTCGTCTTCTTCTCCTTCTTATCCTCCTTCGTCATCTCTTTATCCTTCTTGTTTTCTTTCTCCTTTTCCTTTTTCTTCTTTTCCTTCTCCTTCTCTTCCTCATCCTCCTCCTCCTTCTCCTTCTAATCCTTTTTCTTTTTCTTCTCATTCTTTTCATTCTTCTTCTTCTCCTACTTATCTCCTTCTTCTTCTACTCCTCCTTCGTCTTCTCTTTATCCTTCTCCTTTGCTTTCTTCTTTTCCTTCTTCTCGTTCTCTTCCTCCTCCTCTTTCTTTTTCTTCTCATTATTTTCATTCTTCTTCTTCTTCTCCTCCTCCTCCTCCCCTCCTCGTCCATCTCCTCCTCCTCCTTTTCATTCTCCTTCTTCTTCAACGGTGTAGGCCTTGATCTGTTTCCGACCTGAAGGAAATATCTCCTCCCTTGAAGCGGTGTTTCTGTGACAATTTGAGCAATGCTTGTTACAACGTCGCTTTACTTATCTCGGTTGGTACTGCGCTTGTCATATGTGCTTTCAGGAGTCGCTTCAGAATTACAGAAATAGTGAGGCTGGTGCAGATTTGTTCAATGCCTTCCCGTTTCCTCTGCCGTCCATCACACAGCCTGATCTTTGATTTTTGCCACAACTGATTTACATAAATACATTGACCTCAGAACTCATTCAGCGAAACAAATCCACGCGAAGATTAAATATTTCATTATTACACATTTCAAGATCAAAATTGTAATTAAGTGTTTAAGAAATTTTTTGAAATAATCTGCATTTAACCTTTCGAATTGAAATTGAATTTTTTTTACAATATCTTCAAAATCTGTAATTGGTTTTATCACTCTTAGCTCCATCCACAACCCCTATCAGTAAAACATAAAAATGTTTCATTTGACATAATATTGAAGAAGCATTTTTGGTTGATATTCGAAGATAACGTATACACAGGCGTGCACCGCACCTATATTCTAGTTGCAAAAGTTAAAGCGAAAATGTCACTTAGAAGATATAGACTTAAATGAGAAGATAATATTCAAGTGGATCTTACAAGGATAGGATGTGAAAATTAGGACTGGATTCATCAGTCTCAAGAGAGAGTAATTTGGAGAAATTTTTATCGACACACAGTGATGAACCTCCAGGGGAATTGTCCGACCGGCTGAGTATCCGCTCCTGAAAGACTCTGTTTCGTGGATTGGGCTATATAAACCTACACAAAACAATTTAATTTCCCACATTTTGCCATAAGATTATGATGACGGTGGCTATATTAGAGTAATTATAATATTACTAATTAATTAGCATAAATTAAGGCGGTAGTAGTTTCAGCCTGTTTTCAATTAGGTCTAATCTCTCAACTGATTCTTCTGTGGATGTTGAAGAGAAACGTTGGCACGTCGAACTTAATACTTATCTGGGTTGGATGATCTAACTCATACAGTCTGGAAAAGTAATAAGAAAGTTCTGGACGACTGGGGAGCACTAACTTCTGGAATATAACACCATGCAGTTAGTTGAAAATCAACAGACTTTGGTTGTTTGCGCTGTTTATTCTACCCTGAAGATGGAGGCTGTATTTTTCTCCGTAACGTCGGTCGACTTTCACCGGACTAGAAGTCAGTACTTTTCATAACCACCGCTGCGAGAACCTCACATCCTGCGCTCTGTTAGAGCCTTTTCATACGGTGTTCTGAGCATTTCATTAACGTAGAGGGAAGTACATTAGCGGACGGAAAACCTATATACCTGCACAGGTAAATTCTTTCGGAGCATGAAGCAAACCGGTCTCTTCAGTGTAGTGCTCAAATAAAAACGGCCATATTTACCTCTGGTCACTTCACATATTATATATGCCTGTGTAATTTTACATTTATCATAGAAAATATAACAAATTTTACTAATTAAGGCGTTCAGAAAAAATGTGCTTACACTCTGTTTTAATATACCATCTACAATTTTTCATTTAGCTGATGAAATGAACTTCAAATAATATATATCTACAAGAACAGTTATCTTAGTATTAAGAGAAACATACATGTTATTTCCGATGAGTAAATTGCACGCAGTTTGAATCTCAGCACGGAATTTCAGCTAGAGCCTCACCCAAGGGAGTGTTTTCATAGAATGAAAACTTGGTTCTTTCCTTTCCTTACAGGCTAATCTGCAGAACATAAATTTACAGGATCGGTTTTGTAGTTCGAACAGAATCTTAAAAAAAAAAAAAAAGTTGCAATACGTGGTGTTACAGTAGGATTTGCGCTACGTATGGGAATATTAGTGTTTAGCCTAATTGTTATTACTTACTGTCCTAGAATTTTCTTCTCCGATCACAGTGGCCGCGCGGTCAAAGGCATGAATAGTCTTCGCCCCCTCAAACACGCGGATCGTGGGTTCGAATCCCTCTCAAGGAATTGTCTGTGTGCGTTTATTCTGTATTTATGCTGTCCTGTGTGCAGGTGTGGGCCTTGCGACGGGCTCATCCCCCGTTCAAAAAGTCCTACCAAATATTAGATAGATGGATAGACAGAATTTTCGTCTTCTTTCTCAAGAACCTTTGGGGACTAATGGCCTCTTACTTGGTTAAGTATTTCCCTACTTTACATGGAACCGGGAGATTCATTACCACATTTACGAGAGGCAGTCATTGAGCTGAATTCTAAGCCAGATGAATCCACCCCCCCCCCCAAAAACTGTCGCTTTACATACTTGAATACCATCCTGCTAAGTGGCGCTGGGGCAGGTTTTCTCCGAGTACTTTGGTTTCCCCTTGCCAATCTTCATTCCACCAAATTCTCCATCATCATAATCACCAGGGCAGGTACAATAGACCAATCAGTGGCCGCCGTGGCGAGTGGACCCAGTTGGAGTCCACCCCCCACTAAGCGAATTTAAAAGGAATCTTGCTATCTGAGCCTGTCTTTTTTCAAGCAGTGTTTCCCTCCCGGCTTTTTGACTAGAAAGTTTTGTGTATTTCTTACACGCAGTGTTTGATATACTCGTACCTATCGCCTAAGAAGTCCTCCTTGATTTCATTGCCCTAAAAATGTTTAGTGCCGGTCACGCTAGCCGAGCGATCTAAGGCATGTACTCTCTTCGCTCGTTTGGAAGCGGGATCGTGGGTTCGAATCCCACACAGGGCATGGATGTTTAGTTTGTGTGTGTGAGTTTTGCTGTGTTTGTGTACATGTAGAGGCCTTGCGACGAGCTGATCACCCTCCCAAGGAGTCCTACCGAATGTGTAAGATCTAGAAAAACCGAAGTGAACGGAGAAGTTCATGGAAGTAGGCCTAGGCACAATGGGGCTCTAGTGCCAAGGTGGAAAAAAATAATGTTTAGTAAAAAGCACAAGTTGCCGGTCACAGTAGCCGAGCGGTCTAAGGCATGCACTGTCTTCGCTCGCTCGGAAGCCGGGATCGTGGATTCGAATCCCACTCAGGGCATGGATGTTTGTGTGCGTTTTTCTGTGTTTGTCTACAGGTAGAGGCCTTGCGACGAGCTGATCACTCGCCCAAGGAGTCCTACCGAATGTGTAAGATCTAG